TATTTTATTGTTGTAATAGTTTTGAACACTGCCACACGCTCAAAAAATGTGAAAGTGTTGAATTTGACAAAAATTCAATTTTTCGGTATTTTTTACAAATAAATCCCTAGTTTATCGGAATGCTTAGATATTCATAAAATCATCTCTACATAGTGATATAACCATCATGTGAAACTTTCATTGAATTCTGATGGCTAATTGCGAAAGGGTGGAGCCTCCTTAAAATCCTTAAAATTCTGAAAACCCCCAAAAAAATTGTGGCAGAAAATTTTCTTTACTTTAAAGCAATATAACTACAAAATTTGAAGAAATTCTACTGAGAAATGGTGACACAATCCTATTACCTTAACGATGTATGCTGCCTTACTTTAACAGCCACCTCCTTTAACATAACCACTGTTTCTGACATCACATTATTACAAATCTACCTTAACGATGTATGCTGCCTTACTGTTACAGCCACCTCCTTTCCAAAAGAGTTTTAAACTAAGATATCAGTAGAAAGTCCCTAATAAATATTATGGATCCCTGTCCCACTGCAATATCACAGATGCATAGTTTCATGGTATCAATGCAGCTACTCAGGAATAATGGTGTTTATTGATCTCTCTGTAGACACAAGATTGTCTGGACTCTTGCTTCAGAAGTACTAAATGGTTGTAATGAATTAAGGAATTTACATTAAGGTAGTTGGTTCATTTTTTCATTATTTTCATTTGGACATTTTTTGCAGAGTTATGCCCCTTTACTTGAAATCATGTCTTCAGTTCTGTCTGAAATACTGCACAGATTTCAATGAAAATTTTTAAGCATTAAATATACAGGATAAATTTTAATTTACATTTTGACACTTTTATGCAAAGCAATGCTCCTTTTCATGAAAGGATCTAAACTACTTGTTCTATAACAGCCTCCGTAGTTTTCAATGAAGCTGTACATATTATCAGTATTTAATTATTTATTGTTCAATCTATACAGATTTTCATTATTTTTGCATAGTTATCCCCCTTACATGAAATATGCCCTAATTACTTGTCCTCAAGTCACTTCTGCATAAATTTCAATGAAACTGGGCAAAAATCTAGTAAAAGTCGATAAATATCTAATGTATTTTATTTGGTTGCTTATTAAAAAGTTATTTCTTAAGTAATACTTTCTTCCATTAAAGTAAACATAACAATTTTAATACCGACCATACTACTTGTTATAATGAAACCTGCGACAACATCTTCTATGAAAGTTGACGATAAAATCAATGTGCACTTAAGGTCATTGGAGGGTATCGATAAATGGAAATAGGAAGTACATCCCTAATTGAAAATCCAATGTAGGGAGACAGTATCACAAATTCCGCATATTCTAATGTTTAATATTAAACTGATGAATATTGTATGTTTATTATTGACAGAACAGTGTGTTCTCTCAATAATTAAGTATTTCAAAGCAATTCAGGCATTAATTCAGGGTTTTTTTAATCAATCAGTCACATGTGTCCATTTTTCTGTACTTCAGGAAACCGGCTACCTATTTCACTACTGTGAAGTTTTTCAAGAACGATAACTCTTACATGCAATTACTATGTGTATATGGTTTTATTATTAAATGTCAATTTTTAATCGTTTATAGATCATTAATTTTACCCAATTTCAGCATTTATTAAATTGATATACATTAATGCAATACTAATCTATGTCAGTATCATTTTTATTGACATTATTTTGCAAAAAATTGTGTCTTTCATTTTTCTTTTCAAAATTCACTCCTTTTTACATAATTTCCATTTAGAATCCTTAACATTCTGACAACCTATATTTCTTTTGTGGCAGGACATTTTCTTTACTTCAAAGCAATATAACTACCAAATTTGAAGAAATTCTACTGAGAAATGGTGACACAATCCCTTTACCTTAATCATGATGCAAGTTAATTAGTTTTTCCACTTTTTTTTCAAGTCACATTTCCTTATAAACATAACATTCTCAAGTTTATATTAATTAAGATGCCTTATCTTTGGTTTTCATTAATTTTCTTTCTTTATTATAGCTATCCTGTCTAAGGTTGCGAATTAGACACTTTCATAAATGTATAGATGATAGATTATCTGCCTTGGAGAAGGTTTTTTTAATTCCTCAAGGATCCCGGTCCCACTGCACAGTGACCTCCCCTTAACTGTTTGGATATAACTGTAGCCTGGTTCAGCCAGGACACTTTCGTAGACCAAGTCGCTCAAACAGTTAGAACGACAGTAGAACAATCTGATGTCCACAGTTTGAATACGGTCTTAAGCCCGGATAAACTTTTACATTCAGAACACTGCTGTTGATTGTATTTTGTTCATTTCGTTTTGATTATTTCTCATAACAGTCCCACAAGTTATAGTTTTAGTGTTATAACAGTCCCACAAGTTATAGTTTTAGTTATAGAAATGGTTTGACAGTTTACAATAACAATTTGATCAACAGTGGTACAGTAGATTTCGCTTAATATCAATTCCCATTTGTCAGAGAAAAACATGATATTAACAGAAACATGACATTAACAGAATACGTATTTTTTGACGTTTTTCAGCCCTCAAAACCGGAAGTCGACATTTGGAAAGTGTAATTAAACATAGGTCATAATTTTGCAATGAATAAATTCTCGCAGATCACGATTTTACACATCCCTGCAGCAGCATACGGTAGAATTACGACAACACCATGTAGGCGTTGTACGTGCGTTATTTGAGATTCAAAACAAAGACGATTTTTTCGTATTGTACATGAACCTTGGTCAAACTTAAATAATTTGAGAAACTTATTGTTTGAAAGACAATCTTTATTTTAATCTCAATCAGCATTCGTCATATTTTACGGAAGACCATCCACTTGTATGCCTACTTCACGACAACGTAAATTCAATCTGGAGACGAGCTGTCTGTGAAGATAGTACACATGTTAGTTGAAAGATTACATCACACTTGGCATTAGAAAAGTTTACAGATGTAAGACTGACCTGGCTCCCCCAACTACAGGTGCGTATCCTGTTAACAAGTATGTAAGGTCAAACTATTGTTTAACAATCAGCAAGGTGTAACCTATTGTTTGACAGTCAGCCAGGTGTAACAAATACCCCGTTAGGGCGCGGCGTTGTTTACATAACGCGTCCAGGTGTGACAGAAGGTCCCCGGGGGCATTTATCATGAATCATTACCGCAATTTACCTGTATTTTTTTTTGTGACTGTGGCCAAAATAAAGTGATATTAAGAGAAATCGACATAAAATCAGGTGATAATAAAATAATTGAATTGCATAGATTATATAGCAGGAAAAACGGTGCATCAAAAAAACATGATAATAACCGAAAAGTGACATTAACGGACGTGATATTAGGTGAAATGTACTGTACTGTATGTGGACCCTTAATATGTGACTGAATAAAATCAACAGTGGTACTGTATGTGGACCCTTAATATGTGACTGAATAAAATCAACAGTGGAACTGTATGTGGACCCTTAATATGTGACTGAATAAAATCAACAGTGGAACTGTATGTGGACCCTTAATATGTGACTGAATAAAATCAACAGGTTTTCATTAAGAATAAAAATAACAATTACAACAGCCCTATATGTTCATATATATATGCAATATATTTCACAACTTTTAAACAATGTTAATTGCTGAAATAACAATCTTTTTACCAAACCAAAAGAGAAAGCAACATCTAGTATGTGATAGTGTACAAGTGGATGTAAAGTAATCAATCATAGCAAAATAATCGTGAATCAAATTTGAGCACATCACAGCAGTCAATACATTAGTAATGTGTAGAGCTGAAAAAAATCAAGATAATCAAAAGGAAAGAGTTAATTGTGACCGAGAGTTGGAATCATCTCTCAAACCTCACAGAGTGTTGCATTCAAATATCATGTTCAAATCCTAGTCAACACTCACAACACTGTTGTTTGTTTGTTATATTTAGTTTAATAATGGCAATTTGTAACAACAAAATCAAAGGTTTTATTGTTAAAAAAAATCTTAACTTCAGGAACAATAATTTCAAATACATGTATTTCTTATTTCATGCCAAATATTTGAATTCAGCCGTTTTTTTGTTTTTTTTAATTTTTCAAATTCAATCAGATAGGATCAATTTTGGTTAAGTCTTGAAGACCCACCTGTAAAAAGTTTTGTGAGAAAAATATTTAAAAGATTATCCAGAAATAACAGTATATATATATATATATCAGATAGGGAAAAAAAGGAAAAACTGTTATATAAATACCAGAGAAAAGATGTCAGAGGAAGAAGATTGGAAAGAAAATTTGAAACACAGCAAGCTGAAGGTGGTTAGCAGTTTCTGAAACCATGAGTGATCTCCCCCTGGGATCGCTCTCCAGTCATTATGATTTCCCTGATTATGACAGACAGCCCCAGATACAGGCCTAAGACCACAAATACACTTACGGGTCGTTGCACATGAATGTAGTGCAGAAAGACATTTCAGGTCACCATCAGTTACTAAATAGTTTTTCCTGTCTGATCTTTGACAGATATGTACAGAATTGTTCAACAATATCTATTCTAGTGATTATTTGTTTTTGGCACAGTTTCCAAGTTTGTATTCGCAGGCTAGGACACAATGAGTAATGAGGCTTGCGCATTTTGTGAATTTTCCCCTATACATGCAGGGTAGTGACATTCAAATGAAATTATCTTTCTTAAATGCCCGTCATGAGGTACTTTCCAGCTAACACTGTAGGTTCAATTTGAATAGATCTACAATATAAAATAAGAACCAGACCCTGTGCAAAGCTTTAAAATATTTAAATTTCGTTTTTCCTTTGGTAGCAACATATAGTAGAAATAATTGTGGTCCAAGGCCAGTTATCTCCCTTTAGTTGTAACAAGCTTCCCTGTGGAATAAGTGAGTGTAGGGCAATCGGTGATGAGCTAAGAGGTGAACACTTCCGGGTTGATTTTGTGTTAATAGCACAGATTATATAAAATGGTTTACCACCAGTTCCGGCTCGAGGCAAGCCTCGTCTTGATCGGGCTCAGACTTTTGATTGTCTGAGTCTGTTGCCATGGTTATAGTTGTTTGTATTGTTTATTCCTAAAAGACACAACAAAATCAACAACATCAATAACATATATAATTAAATCCATTTTGTGTTTTTTTGCTTAACTGTTGTTTATTGTCAAAGCAACAAGTAATGAATTATGTATATTCAGCTTTTTTTAAATGGATGAGGTTTTTTTCATTATTAATCTTGGGTACAATTGTTTTTTTTTATTCCTGAAAGACAACAAAATATGACAAGATCAATAACAACAACCTATCTATTTTGAGAATTAGTTGAAATTTATGATCAATCATTGGTTACCATGAACTAAACAATGATTGATTAATAATCGCTTTAAAGAAATACAATGTGACATTTCACTCCATGCTGTTTTTGTGCTTCGCTTACGCAAATATAAACTGATGCAATGTAAGAATAACCTCCTTTCAAACAAGGCTTTCGCAATTTAAAGTCCTAAGCAGTACTGCGCAGGCTTCAAGATCTTAAAGTAAGTCAGGGATGATACCAACATAACAGCTGGAAACAAAAGATGCCAGAGGGATCTTGGCGCCCACCATTGTACCATCTTCATTAGTTCTTTGTCAGTTCGATCACCCTCTTTTAGTATATCCGGGGTTGGCAGGTATGTATAGTCCACTAGTTCTGGACTCCAGGGGTGGACACTAACACAATAGTCCACTAGTCCTGGACTCCAGGGGTGGACACTAACACTAAAGTCCACTAGTCCTGGACTCTAGGGGTGGACACTAACACTAAAGTCCACTAGTCCTGGACTCCAGGGGTGGACACTAACACTATAGGCCACTAGTCCTGGACTCCAGGGGTGGACACTAACACTATAGGCCACTAGTCCTGGACTCCAGGGGTGGACACTAACACTATAATCCACTAGTCCTGGACTCCAGGAGTGGACACTAACACTATAGTCCACTAGTACTGGACTCCAGGGGTGGACACTAACACTAAAGTCCACTAGTCCTGGACTCCCGGGTAGGACGCTAACACTATAGTCCACTAGTCCTGGACTCCAGGGATGGACACTAACACTAAAGTCCACTAGTCCTGGACTCCAGGGGTGGACACTAACACTAGAGTCCACTAGTCCTGGACTCTAGGGGTGGACACTAACACAATAGTCCACTAGTCCTGGACTCAAGGGGTGGACACTAACACTATAGTCCACTAGTCCTGGAATCTAGGGGTGGACACTAACACTATAGTCCACCAGTCCTGGACTCTAGGGGTGGACACTAACACAATAGTCCACTAGTCCTGGACTCCAGTGGTGGACACTAACACTATAGTCCACTAGTCCTGGAATCTAGGGGTGGACACTAACACTATAGTCCACCAGTCCTGGACTCTAGGGGTGGACACTAACACAATAGTCCACTAGTCCTGGACTCCAGTGGTGGACACTAACACTATAGTCCACTAGTCCTGGAATCTAGGGGTGGACACTAACACTATAGTCAACTAGTCCTGGACTCTAGGGGTGGACACTAACACAATAGTCCACTAGTCCTGGACTCCAGGGGTGGACACTTACACTATAGTCCACTAGTCCTGGACTCCAGGGGTGGACACTTACACTATAGTCCACTAGTCCTGGACTCCAGGGGTGGACACTAACACTAAAGTCCACTAGTCCTGGACTCCCGGGTAGGACACTAACACTATAGTCCACTAGTCCTGGACTCCCGGGGAGGACACTAACACTATAGTCCACTAGTCCTGGACTCCCGGGGTGGACACTAACACTATAGTCCACTAGTCCTGGCCTCGGAATCTCAAAACTTCTTAATTCTCAATTCTTAACTTTCCATTCTTAAGCTAAGAACGTACTTAGCTGAGAATTTCTCAAATTGGTGTATCTCGAAAGCGTTCTTAAATATTTAAGCAGTCATAGCAAAATATTCTCATTAAATATTATATTGCACTAAAAATATTTCCCTCGCAAACTTGGCGGCTCCATCTGTTGAAACTACCAGCAAAATATTATTATAAGATTCTATGCTTTTTGGTTCTTCTTCAGAAGTTGCTTGACATACTTTGTTGGCTCTTTCCCAGGAAGCCAACAGCCAATATTAAAATTTTATACCTTTCAGTTCTTCAGAAGAAGTTGTTTTAAGCGTTAGACATATCTAACTCCTGTGACCTTGAAAGTAGGTCAAGGTCATTTTCTTTCGCAAACTTTATTGGGCTCTTTCCCAGGAAATAACCAGCCAAATATTAAGGTTCTATACTTTCCAGTTCTTCAGAAGAAGTCGTTTGAACCGTTTGACATATCTGACTCATGTGACCTTAAAAGTAGGTCAAGGTCATTTTCATTCACAAACTTTGTTGGGTTCTTTCCCAGGAAGCTACAAACCAAATATTTAGGTTCTATAACTTTCAGTTCTTCAGAAGAAGTCGTTTTAAGCATTAGACATATCGGACTCCTGTGACCTTAAAAGTAGGTCAAGGTCATTTTTCTTTTAAAACTTTTTCGGGCTCTATCCTAGGAAGCCACCAGCCAAATATAAAGATTCTATACCTTTCAGTTCTTCAGAAGAAGTCGTTTGAAGCATTTGACATATTTAACCACTGCGACCTTGAAAGTAAGTCAAACTATTTTTCATTCTCAAACTTTGTTGGGCTCTATCCAAGGAAGCCACCAGCCAAATATAAAGATTCTATACCTTTCAGTTCTTCAGAAGAAGTCGTTTGAAGTGTTTGACACATTTGACCCTTGTGACCTATAAAGTAGGTCAAGGTCATTTTCATTCTCAAACTTTGTTGGGCTCCATCCCAGGAAGCCATCAGCCAAATATGAAGATTCTTTACCTTTTAGTTCTTCAGAAGAAGTCGTTTGAAATTTTTGACATATTTGATCCCTGTGACCTTGAAAGTAGGGCAAGGTCATGTTCTTTCTCAAACTTTGTCAGGCACCTACCAACAAAGCTTTCAGCCAAATATCATGACTCTAGTCCTGTTCGTTCTTTAGAAGAAGTTGTTTTAAGGAAAAGTTGATGGACGCCCGACGGCGCACCATGACATAAGCTCACTCACAAGAGGCCCAGAGGGCCTGTATCATTCACCTGAATATGTTTAAAATAATTGGTATGAAGTAAAGGTATAGCACTCCATGGTAGGTGCTGTAAGTACATATAAAATTTCAGAAAGATCCATCCAGTACTTGAGATATAGCGAGAACAAACTTGAAACAGAACTATGGGGGGTATGACCCCCCTATGGCCCTAGGGGGGTCATACCCACCAATTATACAAAATTGAGACCCCTTGGCCCAAGGATGCTCCAGACTAAATTAGGTAAAAATCCCTTAATCCCTATGGTAGAAGAAGGATTTTAAAGGTTTTACCTCTATTTCCCCTATTGGGCCCCGCCTCTCTGCGTCCATGAGGGTTATACAGACCATTTATACAAAATTGGTTCCCCTTAACCCAAGGATGCTTCATACTAAATTTGGACAAAATCCTGTCATTCGTACAGAGGAAGGTATTTGAAGAATTTGCTATGTTTCCACTATTGGGCCCCTCCCTCCTGCCCCGAGGAGGGCCACACTTGCTGTTTATAAGGAATTGAGTCCCTTTTGTCCAAGGATGCTCCAGACTAAATTAGAATAAAATCCCTTAATCCCTATGGTAGAAGGATTATAAAGGTTTTACTGCTATTTCCCCTATTAGGCCCCGCCCCTCTGCCCCCAGGGGGGCCACACCCACCATTTATACAAAATTGAGTCCCCTTGGCCTAAGGATGCTCCAGACCAAATTTAGTCAAAATCTACTAGGCTGTTCAGGACTAGTAGCGTTTTAAAGGAAAAGTTGACAGACGGATGACGGACGCTGCGGCATGGCATAAGCTCACCATGGTCTAAGGGTGTGCGCGTGGTACACCAAAATTATCGGTGCTTCGCGAATCAGAACTTTCGAATCGAGTCAGTGATAAGGATCTCCGGAAATCGGTTCGGTTCAGTTCCAATTCTGAGTGTTAGAAAATTGTGTGCTCTCCAGTGTAGGCACAATTATTTTGTACAATGTTAAGTCATTTTTGTAGCATGTTTGTATTTTAAATGATGATATTCAGAAAATTGAAAGCGACTGTCAGAATGTCCTGCGAATGACGGAAGTCCGGTAGTAAACAATGCATGAAGCGCACCAAGGGCGAATATGATTACTACGGGAGGTAATGAGTCCGCACTGTCCTACAATAATACCCGAGAGCGTAGCTGAACTATCGGTATCCTCGAGGCTGATTATCACTATACTGCGTAATTGATCATGAATGACGGAAAAAACCAGCAGACGCTATTTGCATTTCTGTCGTCAGCTAAAGACGACAACTTTCAGTTCATATTCTTACACAATGACTGTCTGTGCCCAGTGTGGGTAAGTTACATGATTTCTGTTTCAGTAATAAGCGCCAGTTTTTAAAAACGTAATCAAAACACTGACATTTGAGTTTGAATTACGTTTTCTTGTGCAATTTGAACTTAAAAACTAATCATCTGTAGAAATAAACTGGTGCATGGCTAAGAATACATCATTGTTATAACTGATTGTTTGGCACATTTATTGAAGTATAAGTATTTTTGCCAAAAGTGATCCGATTTGGGTACTGATCCGATTTGGGTACTGCCTCCTTACACAATTTTCATTCTGTTACTGACTAATTCTTGGAGTTTTTATTATATGACAGGCTGGAAATATTATAAAATATATAAAAACATGTAAAAATGGCATTGCTACAATTAGTTAACAATTTTGTGATTATATAACATACCCATGGGGATTTAGATAAGGTGTACCCCTAATATATGCAGCCATAACCCCATTTTGAGAGGTATGGGGGTACAAAAAAAAACAATTACAAAAGTGACAGGGAACACTGTTTTATTCAAATACCAAACAGGGTCTACGTTTTCGATGTCAAATCATTTAAAAAGAAAGCATAGCATTTCAATTAATGACTCGCGGCAATCAACATCAACGCAATCTACCCCTGCAGTGAAAACATTTTAACTTGGTAA